AAATATGCTCTATTAAAACAGTTTTAACTTATTTATATTGCACGTTTGAGAATCTTTATCCATCTAATTTGGCATTTGCTCTATTGTGAAGCGCTTTGTAACTTTTCCAAATGCGCTTCACGAATGCAGTTTTGAAGGCACGCCGAAGCTGTAGCCTTCGCTTAGCATCACCCAAGAGGACTGTCGTTGGTTTAACCAAACGCAAACTAGATAGAAGAATGTCTTTAGGGATCAACCGATATTTAGATTTTATAATACCGATAACTGGTAATCAAGAAAGACCTGACATTTATAATTATGTTACATCAATAACAAGGATTGCTGTCACTGAATATATATGTATTTACAAAGTAGTGCATTTAATTTATTTTATTGATAAATAAAAGAAAAGGTACCAATAATCAGAAAAATGGAGAATATCAGCCATGATAATCAGTCGATTGCTAGTTTTTCCTCCATAGAAGAGTGATAATGAGGTGCAGCAAGACCATTAAGACCTTCATTGGGTACGATTTTTTCAAAAAGTGCTGGCACTTGGGGTGACCTCACATTCAAGTGGCTGACGCTCGTAACATGTGGGTTCGATTCCAGGCCGGTTGGACTATCTTAATCCTAGCTAAGACGTTACTCTAACAAATACGAGTTACTGGATATAAGAGTTCCACAAGCATGAAGGAGAAAACTGAGTGCAGAAAAATGGTGCCTGTTGTCCTCTTCAAGTTGAACCAATCAGTTTTTCAGCACCGTCCCAGTAGAAAGCACCTTCTTCTTCCCAAAAACAGCCTTAGAAGAGGTTCTACAGGGGCGGTTCTTGCAGCTAGAATATGCAGGCCGACCTGGAATGACCTGCAAGTTCCTTCAGTGGAAAATGGCCTCATCGAACTATTAGGGAAAAAAATCTGATTATTATTATTATGTTCCTAACAAAAAGGTTACCGAGGAGTCAAATCAGCTGATTATCAACGGTGCCAACAACCGTTATTGATTCAAATGTTATTAAAGCACTATTAGTGATTAGAGCGACATGACATCTGCTTTTCCAGCTCAGGCCCTGTTCACCTCAAAGCAGCTGGAAAAGCATTAAAAATCAGTTTCAGGCTGAACTCTCTAGTGTAAAATAAAGAAAACTGTCTGATTCTGGCAGAAAACAGTGTGTTCTTGTCGTTCCACATCACTTATATTAAAAAAGATGATTGAGAAAATATGTCTCAGTGGCCCCCGAGGTATAAAACGTCAGTGAAAACAAGGCAGTAATGGCTAAAAATCTCATTGTACAACCCATCAGCTGGCTTTATGTGGCTGCAGGAAGATGCTGCTGACACATAAATAGTACGAGAGGCTGTTTACGATGCCTGTTTTTTCTTTTCTGCTTAACATTTAGCTGATTGTCTGTTTACTAGTGTCGTGTATCTCAGTTATATTTACGTGTTGTGAGAATATTTAAGTAAGAAGTGCACTAAAGCATCATCAGGAGTTTGAGAATTAGTTCACCTGGTTCTAACTGTGGTGTTACAGATGATTTTAATTACAAACTGCAGATGTGTTTGTCTTCATGTGAAGGTTTCAATTTTTTATTTTTTTTTTAAATTAATTGATTCCACAAATTGTTTTGGCCTAAAAATTGAGTTCAGACACCTTCTAATGAAATTATGTTGAACCAACAAACCATATTGAGTTTAAGGAGTTAATAATTAGTAGCATAAACACAACCTGATTACTCATCAAATGTAGCTGTTATAGTTTTTTAAGAACACGTTTTTTTCTAGGTTGACAAAAAATAAATAAATTAACTTGCTCCAATTTGATATTTAGTAGTTTTTGACTTTTTCGTGTTTGTCGGTAATTAACTTTTTTGGAACTGCAATTGTGTATTTGAGCATAAATAATTTAATTTAACAATCAAATCACTCATAAACAAAATAGTTTTGACTAAACATTCCGCGTTATTTAAAATAAACAACGAGGAAAACGTGTCATGAACTCAATTAATACAAGTTTTTAAGTTGCTAATTAAAAAAAATAAAAAAATAAATAAGTTGCTGCGATGGGAACTTGAAATCCTAAACTCAAAGTAGGAAAATTAAGTGATCAGACCAATTTCTTTAAGTTATCTCAACTTGAATTAACTCTAAATCAACTAATGCAAAAAAATTAGGGTTTAAATTAAACACAATATTAAGTTGATGCTACATTTACATCAACACAACCCAATAAAATGTCTACAACTTCAAAGGTTTGTTTAAATCAGTAAAGTTGCGTTTTTATCTTGCAACCATGCATTTAATAAAGAAAGTTTTAGACTTCAGGGTGTTAACGCAGAACCTAAAGCTGCATTTAAGTAATAAATCTACATGTATGGAGGGTGCTTTTGCATTTTTAACTGTCATAAAACTTTTAAAAATAGGAAGTTTTCAAGCCAATTTCATGAAGTTCCCTCAACGTGAATTCATTTTTAAATCCACTAACGCAGAAATTTGAGTTTTAAATCGCACACGATCAAAAATCCAAAATATTGTTGCAACTTAAAAGACTTATTTAAATCTGTTTTTATCATGCAACTGTACATTTAATAAAGGAAGCTTTTAGGATGCACAGAGCTAGCGCAGAACTAGAGGCTTCATTTAAATAATAAACCTGCAATTAACATTCTGCGCTGCCCTTTATTGTGGGTGGTTTTTTTAGTTTTTATTTTCCCATTCTCTCTCAGTGGTAAAACTTTTTCTTTTGGTGCCGGATATTCATGAGAACTCCTGTTTTAAATCCCTCGCTCTGCCCTCCGCCCTCTTTGGAGTCTCACCCACTTAACCATTTACAAAAATCCACAACAGATTATCGTTTGGGGCTATGAGAGAGGGGCTGCAGATGGTGCACACCGATCTCTCTCTTTTTTTTTTTTTTTTTTGTTCTATTGAGATCTGATGAAGGCAAATTCTAACCCTCCGCTCCACCCCGACACCTCCAGCTTCCCTCCACCCCCCGCACACACACACTTTTTAAATGATAGACGTCACCTGGCTTTGTGGACCTGAAGGGATCCCATCCAGGATGAGATGGAAGCATATTTTGGAAAACCAACAAAGGCATTAAAATGTAAACCCCCTGCAGCATGTCTGGCCGCGGACGTGTTTGTCTTGGTGGAGGGAGCTGCTGTTGCCTTCCATCGAGGGACGCGGCAGAAGAGGAGGGCCATGTGTGGCTTGTTAATATTTAAACCCCCAGTCTGCCAGGTTTCGGCAGTCGGGATGAGGCCACGCACACACACACACACACACACACACACACAC